CTCCCGACCAGGGCTGCCCAGGCCACAGCTTTGGGGCCAGGCTACCTGGGCTGTGGTTGTGTTTGGGTCAGAGGAGAGGTGCCAGGTTCAGGCTTCCCTCTCACAGCCTTGGCAGTCTGGAAGCTGGACTATGCTGTAGGTGAGGCAGCTCTCCCTTGGCAAGTGCCTTGAGCACTTGCGTGGCCCTAGCTAGGCAGCTCCATGACTGCACAGCTTACAGGGAACATACCGTGTATCCCTAACAAAACTGAGTAAGTGATTGTCCTAACACAGGGATGGGGCAGAGCTTAGATTAATCTAAAGGTGGAATCTCCAACCAAGAGTAGCTTAATCGATTCTTCTCCCACTTCCATCCATTTAAATAATAGTTTTGGAGCAAATACATCCACTGTGTGTTCATTCTGCTGATGCTAGACTTTCTTCTTATGTTATCAACAGCTATCTTGTTAGATTCAAAGACTTTTTCATCTTTCCGGCCTGCATAATAATATGGTGGTTGTGTAAAAAGATTCCTATTACAGCAGTGTACTCTAGTAAGATCATGTAACACTGATGTCTTATAAATCACATCATAGCAGTAAGGAAAAATCTTTCTTTTGAGGGAATGAGGGGGAAAGCATATACATTAGATAAAGAGCTTACTGTTCTTGGTGGAATCTTTGACAACAGCATTTGTTTTTGCCACATCATCTGCGAGTTGGCTGTAGTTGTTTCTTAAGCCAAGGAGATTCTGGTTGAGTTCTTTAATCCTAGCTAGTATATCATTTGCAGTGGTGTTAGCTTGTCCAGCTTTATCTTTAGCTGCTTGTATCTTTGCAGCTGTGTCTGGGGGCAAGAAAGGATCAAAATATCAGTGCAGTCATGAATACACACGGCAGAATCAGCTCCTCTATGCCTCTATGTCTTTCTTGACCTAACAAAATATTCAGCCTTGTTTAAATGTAGAGAATGAAACATCTCTTCTTAGCCAGATTAATTTTTCTATGGAATCATTCCCTGTGCTAGGAATAGCTGATTAACCTTGAGAATGAAAGTTGTGATCCTCAAAACCCATGGTATGAAGGAGCACTTTGATGTGTTGGTGAAGAAAATACGGAATATTAATCTACATGATTCACATAACGCTGCTGCTCTATAGTTTATGGTTACTTTGAAGTACAGCTGAGTGAAATAATTTATTGTAATATTTTTCATCAAAATGTGGCCCCTTACAAATTACATGAACTTCTGTGAAATTGAACATTTGTTAACCTTTTGCAACAAAGTTTTGAGCAAGATGATTTTCACTGCTAGGTATGAAAATGCTCTGGAAACTATTGGATATTATTGGTTCAGAAAGGGTGGGGTGCTTAGCGGCTAAGTCACTAAACAGAGGCTCAGGAGATCAGACTTCAAACCCCTGTTCCACCACTCTGTTCCTCTTTTATCTTAGGCAATTCATTTAGGCCAGTGGTGTCCAAACTTTTTTCAAAGAGGGCCAGATTTGATGAAGTGAACATGTGTGAGGGCCGACCATTTTGCCTGACATTCTTTGAACCATTAAAATTAAATGCAAATTAACTATTTTATGCAAAGTTTATTGCAAACGGCATACTTTTCATTTCGTCACATGGATGACAAATCTAAACAGGTGTTAAATCACTCTGCCTTTCATATCTGAAGGCCAGATGAAAAAAAAAATCCAGGAAGCTGAAATATATGTCAGGAACATTGTAATGTATTTTAAAATGTCAGGAACATTGTAAAGTACATTACATATTATTGGTAATAAAGGTTGTCTGTCAACTTTTAAGTTCAAAAAATATGAACAGGAACATAACACCAAGTATACATGTTGTGTCCAAATATATTTATAACTGATTTAGACCAACTGACATTAACTGAGATTTTACAATGTATTCATCTCAATACATATGGATTCGTTGGGGGCCATAAAAGATAGATATTGCCAAATTACCTGGGGGGCCGTATTAAACCGGAACACGGGCCGCAATTGGCCCCCGGGCCGGACTTTGGACATGCCTAATTTAGGCTGTACCATGGAAGCAATTCTGCTTCTTGCGGCAGGATACCTCTGGGGTTGCCAAGTCATTTATGTTCAGGTCAGTTTCCCTCTTGCACAAAACATACCTTCGTAATGAAAGAGGCACTGTGGCTGAGATACCAGCCAATGGTTGGTATGTATGTAGACAAAGAGTAACACCTACACATATTTTTTAAACAATGCAAGATGACACAATGAAACATAGCTGAGCCCAGTGCTTCAGCACTTTTTGTACTTACCATTGGGAATGGCTGACAGCTTTTCAAAGGTGTCGTTCAAAGCTCTCAGGAGAGCCAAATTCTTTTCATCAGCATTTTTCAACCTGTTCTGCATACTGTTCAAGTTATCCCCATTTTCTGCAAAGAGCACACATACCAAAAGATTTTAACTCACAGTGCAGTCTCCAGCCATTGGCAGGCATAATCAAACCTGGGAAATTTGAAATTTAGTGTATGAACTCCTACTTCATGAGCTAAAAGCCATCTGCTTCTTAACCAGGACTGCAGAAGACTCATCAGTATGTAGCTGGCCTAGGTGCCATTAGACGGGGACAGAGTGCCAAACCAAACTGGCATGAGTTACATTTACACATTCATTTGGTATCCACTTTAATAAAAGAGACCATGAACAACTGTTATCAATATACATATGTTTAATTAATTTACTCTGTTACTGCAATGAGCATATGTTACACCACCAGTTCCAGGGTTTACTAATGCTATTTTCTGTATTTTAAAGGCCTCTAATTCCTTTGTGCTTGATTTCCTTAGACTACTATATGGTGATATTTGGTGCTTATGGAGGAGTTTTATTTGAGGCTCTCAAAATATTTTATGTACACAACACTCCTGTAAGCGATGTATACAAAATAAGGCAAACAGACGTTAAGTGATTTACTCAAGGCCACATAGTGAATCAATGGCGAACTGGACAGAGGACCCAGGAAGCCAGATTAGCAGTCCAGTGCTCTGAAGCTAGCCTACAAGGTTTTCTATGGTAACCTCACAAATTCTTCTTTAGTTGTTTATCTTGGGCCAATGCTTCATCCATTTTGTGTGATAAAACAATTCAGTCAGAGTAGTGTTCTGTCACAATTAGCATGCCTATTTCCCAATTCTTGCTGGCCTTTTTCAAAATATGGAAACAACTGCTGATAAAATATATAGAGAAAGGACATGAAACTACATTAGCAGCATTATGATCAATATTAGGAGGCGACCTCAACAAAAAGTCACAATGAAATATGCAGATTGATTGGGAAGATTTGTTTGTAGTTAAAATCATACATCAAAATTTGTTTACATTGAAAAACTAGTACAAATCAGAAGAACAGATAATGTGATAATCAGCACATAAAAGATGAAACATCCTCCGCAGATAGGCTGATATTCTTCACAAACCGTTTTGCATAACAATGATATTTTTGCTGGAACAACATGCTACATAAAAATGATTTTTCACACTCTCTGGAGAGAGGTTCCAACTTAAGTTATTTAGAAATCTGTAGATGAAAAAGTCCAGAGTTGTTTGGTAAAGAAAATGCTAATTAAGCCTGAAAATTCTTATCTGGGGGGACATTTTGAATCACTTATTCCCATTGTTATGGAACTCTTTGGAGCTAAGGAAGAAGAAAAGTGGGAATTTTCCCCCTGCAATGCATTTCCTGAATCAGAATCACTGATTGAACTGATAGCAAAAGATGGAAAATAATTTGTAGAAAAAGGGAATGGGTATAAACTCTTACTCTAACCTTCAAACATGTAAAACTTCAGTGAAATTAAATTCAGTAGAAATTTGAATACATATTCAAAGAGATGCCTCTGGCATTTGCTAGACTAAATGGAAGTCACCTTTCTGGTTCTCTGATTATAGAGTAAGGGTCAAAAGAGCTCCCAGAGTGAGTTAAATTATCATAGACACTTGAGACATTTGTAGAACAGACTGAAAAATCTCATACTGCCATACCTAAAGTCCAAGACTGAGTTAATTGGTGTCAGTATACAGTTCACTTTACCAAACTATCAGAAGAATTATTGAGTGAGCAATTTGACACTGTTATCTGTGCAAAAGGGTGTCACAGCTGTCTCTGTTATAATTAGACAGGGGGAGCCTGTATGTGGTGCACTAATACAAAGCTTGGGACCCCCTGTGAAAGTTATTGTACAAAATATTATAGTAAGACTAGGATTTGAAAAAATGTCATTAAATACTTTTAATTTTCTCAGTGACTATTACAGAATTCCAAAGATTTTTTTTTAAAGAAAGCATATTTGCTTTTCTTGGCACTGATGGGTATTAACATTCCTGGCTGTAGTTTGAGAGAAACCAGTCAATAGATTACAAAAGATTAAAATATCTTAAAGACAGATATGTACAGACAGGAAAACAAATTGTTATTTTAAAAAAATAAGCACTAAGAAAACTGTAGAAAAAGATCTAAGAAAAAATAAGATCCATAGCAAACTTCTCTCTATACATTTTAGAGGCCGTCTGAGACTCTGCCTGTCTGCCTGTGAATCCATTTGTTCAAGAACTCCTAAATGGTAACAGCTACCACCACCAACTTTGGTATGCAGCTTCCTCTTAGCCTAACTTAAAGCAAGGTCAGGGATTGGTTGTGGCAGGAAAATGGGATGTGCCTAGAATTAGATTGTTTTCCATAATGTGGAAAGGGAGGGGGCTGATTGTAGGGACGTGATACTGCACAGTCACCACTGGGAGCAGCAAGAGCAGGGGACAGCTGTACTGCAGAGTGACCACTAGGGGTAGCCACATCAGGAAGAGATTGACCAGTTGGGGATGGGACTCATCATCTTGCTGGCCAGTGGCCCAGGTAAGTGACCTCACTCTACCCCAAACCCTTCCTCTCTAGCTCTGGCCCCCAGTGCCAGATTGGGAGGGAGGAGGAAGCTTCACTGGCCCCATTGCCATAGCCCTCCCCTGGAGCACCACCAGGGATGGACAACACTGTGCCCCCCAACCTACAGGCAGCACCCCCAAACACCACTGGACTACTCAGCGTGCTCGCACCAACAGTTGTGTGTTGCTTCCTCCTCACCTCTCCCTGGGGATCATTACTGGCACTGCCCTGTTTGCCCATGGGCTGGACACAGGGTCTTCTAGCTGCCTATAAAAACAAGATCTGCATTTTCCTAAATTATGAAAACGCTTGGAGATTTTTTTGTGCACACAAAACTAATGAAGAATCCTGTGGCACCTTAACTGACAAAGTGGATTTTTGCTTGTGAAAGCTTATGTCCAAATAAATCTGTTAATTTTTAAGGTGACACAGGACTTCTCATTGTTTCTGTGGACACACACTAACACATCTACTCTCTGATACTCTGAATTAATCAATTACTTTCAGGGAACTGACTGATTTTGAGTGTCAAAAAATTCTTATCTTCCTGCGTTCTAAATTCACCGACCAAGTGTACAGCATGTATTTAGTGTTCTTCACATCTCTGGATAGACCATATACTCTGTGCTTGAATCTCATGTGCTCTCCTGTCAGCCCAATAGTCGTGTTTTTGATTGACTGGCCAATTATTTTAATGAATTAACATAAAAGTATTTAGATTTGCTATTGCTGGTGATATATTAGAACAGTATTAACACTGTAACTTTTAGTAGCTTGTACTTTTAATAATGATTTTAGAAAGTATTTTTTAGATGGGAAGAAAAGGGAGCAGAAGAGCATGTGTACCCACACAAACTCTGGGACAGGAAACACAACTTCCAGAAGGGGTAAGAAATAGAGAAATAGTCACAGGTTGAAAAGGAAGGAGGCTAGGGGACAACAGCCACTAGAGCATAAACAGACATCCTGGAGGAGCTGAACATTTTTTGAAATTGGAAGTGGATGAGGTTCTTGCCCAAGCAAATCTATTGCTCCCTGCAAAACCATTTCACTACACAATTAGAGTATCCCTAGTTCGAAGTAGGTATGCAAATGTAGGCATTCAAAATAGTCAATGAAGTGGGGATTTAAATATCCCATGCTTCATTAGCACGAGCTCACCAGTGCGTTACTCCGATCAACAGCTGTTTCGAAAGTGAAAGTGCGCACCGGGACGTGTTAGTTCAAACCAAACCCCTTGGTTCGAACTGATGTTACTCCTCATTTTTGGCAGGAGGGTGGGAAATACTTTGAGCTAAATGGAACTAGAACAGGAGGTAGACTCGTTTGTGAAAGCTGGGGGAGACAGGGAGGTGAGTTGAGGAAAGACCTTGTTTGAATGATAAAGGATAGGTTTGGGTGCCCAGATGGCTGGAATTTTTAAGCACCAGCTTTTGAAATGCTTAAGAGCCCACTGAATAGTGAAGTCAGTGGGGCTATTAGTAAGGTGCTTCTAGAGGAGAGTAAGGACATCAGAATCTAGTCCTAAGACATCAGGGAATGTAGCAGAACTAATTTCTTATCTACTAAGATCAGCTTCTAAACAGGTTTAATGAGATCCCTTTAATTTTCTAAATTTGTCTGATATTTCCCCAACGTCTCTGGTCCCCTTTAGAATATTTTTAATAATTCTGACATAGTTTATTCATTTCAGGTGGTGTTTCTAATAATTTTGCTGTGTGATCTTAAATTGTTTCTTCTCTTCCACTTTAGCCTGCCAGATCCAGAAATTATGCTAATTATTCCCTTCCTATATTTTTGAAGCATAGTGTTTCCAGAACTCTGCTTCCAGCTTTGTAACCATAGCTTCAAAATAATTATTATGGATTTTAATAATTTAATTCCCTCTGGAATGCCTATATTTGAATATTCAAACGACATCTGTTTAATATTTTTTCTTTTAATTTATCAAATGCATTTTAATAGTGTGATCTTAGTATTAGAAGAATAAAGCAATAAATAAATGTTAAGAGAGTCCCATGCTCAAAGGCAGGGAAGGAAAGGAGCTCCTCAAATCACCGATAATGAGAAAAAGTCTCAGAGAGGCCAGCAATGCCTCTCTGCTATTTATATTGGCCATATATACCGTGACAAAGAATAAATAGACACAAATCAGACATCAGAAATGGTAACACACATAATTGGTCACACAATCATGGGATTTAAAAATACAGGAATTTCAGCACCCAATTACAGAGAGGCTGCAGAACTGGAATTAATCTACAAATTTGACACTGTTATCCTGGGCTCAAATAAAGACATTCACTGGTTAACACGCTACCCAGCCAGTTTCCCCTGCCTTTGACACCCACATTTTCTTATCAAAAGCTATGAATGGGACACATCCAGCCCACTTAATTAGCTTCATTAACACAGATCCTACATTTGACAGGATCTTCTTTTGCTGCGATATATATTTTGGAGTCTGTTATTTCCACTTCAACTCATCTGATGAAG